TCAGTACAAACAGTTAAATAATTTGTCTTTGATTGGAATAGAGTGTTATATAAATGGAGATCATCAAAGCGCACGCGTGTTTGACGAAAACGTTTGCCAATAGTAAAAATAAAACGTAATGTGTATGTGTTTCAAGCCTAATAGCAACGTTACTATGTACAGGTAGCACGTATTGTTTGCTATACTATTAGCACCAGTATGTGCTACCTTTGTACAAAGTCCAGGGGTCTTCAATGTTTGCATTGACGTATATAACCACGAAATCAAGACTTTTCTGTATTTGTCCTGTAATATACATTAACGTATATTAGCGAATTCTAACCGATTTCATCTGTTATATCTTTTAGATACTATATCTAGATCTCTTGTTAAAATCCTTTATAGCTGACAACCTATCATTAAAGCTACGCAAACACAGAGAAGTCTTGAAAGCCAGGCTTTTCAGACGTATCTACTAGACCAATAAGTGACTGGCATGTTTAAAAGTAAGCTAGCCATGTGCACAAAGTGCATTGCTGGCGTGTCTGGCACGTACTACATTTGTAGCACTGAATATTAATTCCTGAATTGAGCTCGAGCTTATGGTGTAAGAGTAAGGATCGGAAACCACTGAGATGTGCCGGCTAAAGTCTCAGAAGATTTTTAGTTGGTCATTGTTAGGATTGACGTTTGCTCTTCTATGGACTTCATCATTGCAACAAGGTAAGGTGCCCCCTGTAAATTGATGCAAAAAATTGGCATTCAGTCAAATCATTGTGTGTGTGTGTGTGTGTCTGTGTATGTGTGTGTGTGTGTGTGTGTGTGTGTGTGTGTGTGTGTGTGTGTGTGTGTGTGTGTGTGTAACAGCATGTGTGCGTATGTGTGTCTGTGTGTGTGTGAGTTTGTGTGAGTGTGTACGCGCGCGCTTCTGTGCATATGCCTACGTGTTTGTATGTGATTGTATGTCCATGTCTTATTGTCCTTGAAGCTTTTCTTGCTATTTCAGGGGGCTGCGATTTCGACACGAATATGTGTGGTTTCCAACAGGACAACACAGATAACTTTGACTGGACACGTCAGCAGGGTTCAACAGGGACTACAAACACTGGACCCTCAGCAGATCACACTACTGGAACGGGTACGTGAACATTATTGAGTTGACATTATTAATCCATTCTCTTAAACATCCTCAAGGTCAAGCTACCTTTTGTTCTTCGTCATATTTACACCACTCACAATGTGTTTTCATAGACTTCTTTGCTAATTTGAGGAATGTTATCAGCATGAAAAGATTATAATATTGTACCTATAATATTCTTTTTGAATATGGCAGTTGAGACCGGGTGATAAGCCCCCATTTACCAGTACCTGTCTATAATATTTTAAATATATAATTAAAATTATAATCGTGCATCTATTACTTGTGTCCGTCAATCTTTTGCCCACTAGCTTTGAACTTTGGAATAAATGGAATAATGTTGAAGACAGTGCAAACTACCCTCATGGTTTGGTTTGAATTAAGACTCTGGTCATCATGCTCAAATGAGAGCCATAAAGAGTCAGAGTCGGCGAACAAAATATGCTTTCTTCTTTTTTTGTGAGATGGGGTTAAGCCAAATATGCGCGTGCGGTTTTTGTAAGTGAATCACCAGGTCCGTTGTCGTTTGCAGGATACTATATGTTCATTGAGACTTCCGACCCACAAGTGAGCGGAGACGTCGCACGTCTGCTCAGCCCTGTACTGTCACCAGACACTAAATGTCTGGAGTTCTGGTACCACATGTACGGGGATTCTACAGAAGACCTAAACGTTTACATCCGACAGACAGGCCGCCCTTTGCCAGGCAGTCTGACATGGTCACAAACTGGGGACAAAGGAGACGTCTGGCGGCGGGCTAGAGTACATCTTGAAGAAGGGAGCGACTTCAATGTAAGTAAAACAAACAGTCAGAATGTTAAAAAATAGAAAAAAAAACTCAAAGGCTATAGACTCATAGACCCTTAGGCTATCTTATTCCCCTGCAATACCCGTAACGGCTTTCCTTAATAATTATTCAATTATTCATGTTGTATCATTGTTTCATAGGTTTCGTCCTTCTGCTGCACGTTTTAGTTATATTATTATGTACTAATACAATACATTGCTTTTGTTGTGTAAATAATTGAACAGACAAAATAAAGAATAGACTTTAAGCCTATTAATAAGAGTAAAAATTCATGAATTAAACAAAAGAGTTGATCTGCATTAATTATTAATAAGCTTAATGTTCTACGCTATGTGCTTCATACTGAGCATCTGTTACTTCTTCCTTAGGTCGTGTTTGAAGGCGTGCGAGGTTCAAGTTACCGGGGTGACATCGCCATAGATGACGTCAGTTTTAGAACAACATCATGTGGTGGTGCGTTCTGTTGGTTTGCTAAGGCTTTAATGTATGGATGAACAAGCTCACGTCAAGAAATGATAGAAGAATCTTCCCAAAAGATGAGACAGAGGTGTAATACCCGTAAGGTGTCAAACAGTCCTCTTCAAAAATCGTTTCCCGTAAAATCTTTCTCTATATATAGTTTCTTTCTTCTTTCTTTCAGGGGACTGTGATTTTGAAACTTCTCTGTGCGGTTACCAACAAGACAACACAGATGACTTTGACTGGACACGTCAGCGTGGCTCTACAGGGACTGCAGGCACTGGGCCTTCATCGGACCACACTACTGGATCGGGTGATTATGTTAATTATAGTTTTTCTGTTCTTTGGATTTATTATTATTCCTATCGTAAAACCCTTATCATACTCCTTAATTAGACAATGATGCCATTTTGAGCCGGTTTGAAATAATTCTAAGGGAACACAAACACTTATAATCGGACAAGTGAGCCAATTACGTCGAAAATTTTTAATATTAGCTACAGGTACCTACATGTTCATTGAGACGTCCACTCCCAGGCAGCCGGGAGACATCGCACGTCTGATCAGTCCTGTACTGTCACCAGACACCAGATGTCTGGAGTTCTGGTACCACATGTACGGTAGTGATACAGGAGAACTCAGAGTCTACCAAAGCTCAACAGGCAGCTCTCAGCTGGGCACACCGATATGGTCTCTAGAAGAAGACCAGGGGAATGTCTGGCACAATGCTACAGTGAACCTGTTAGCTGCTAGCAACTCCTATGTAAGTGAGCGTTCTCAAACATGAACGTAAAGTGCATAAGGTCTGTCATGAGAATTGAGTTTGGGTAACTATCACTAGAACGATATTTCTATTTGACTACATTAAGTATAGACGAGTAGTGTACACGACTAGTGTGCCAAGATGAACCTGCATTGCAGTATTATCTAACGAAAAAGCTCAATGCTTCCTACATTGATATCAGTGTGAGGTTGCCCGGTGGTCAGTTAGTTTAGCAAGGTAGATTCATTAGAATGTATAATTCATCAGATTCTACTCTCCACTATACTAGGTCGTATTTGAAGGTATACGAGGGTCTAGTGTGCGGGGTGACTTGGCCATAGATGATGTCAGCATCAGAACAACACTATGTGATGGTAGGCCCTATCCTTTGCGTATAAAAATGGTTGTAAAACATTGTGTGTTGATAGGGGCCAATTTGCATATTGAAAAAATGTTATTTGGGTCTTGAAAACAAATTATCTAAATACAAACATTCGTGTATCTCTATACCTTGCAATATCACTTCAGGATTGCCTTTTCTTACTCGTCAGAAACCATTCTAAACACCACAGCAACAGCGTTACCATCAACAATCCCAAGTACAACAATTGGTTTGGTTTGGTACAATGGAAGGAGCATTGAATCACACATTCAAAGGTAGTTAGTATTGATGCTTAATATTACCTTAAAATACTCCTTTTTTGTAACAGGAGCCAGTGTAGCTACCACAGCAAAAGTAGGTACATCAGCCCAGACTACAACAAGACCGACTATTGAAACAACAAATGAAATGACTACTTCAACTGATGCAACAACTCTACCGGCAACAACTGCACGAGAAGCATCCACACAAGACAGGTCAACGAAGCTAGTACCCTCTTCATCGGAACCTTCGACAACCATGAGTACAACAACGTATACTAACGTTACAACACAGAAGAGCACCGAGGTGGTTGCTACAACATCTGAGGCTACAACAACGTCTTCTCCTGTAACGACTGTGGAAACAAGTTCACCTCCACCCATCACTACTCCAACAGACATAGAGAAAACGGTTCAAGTAACAACAGAAGGAGGTAAGCGTGCGCCGGCTATACTCGTAGTGTTCACAAAATTCACACTATTCACAAAAAGTGTTTTACTTTGGACTGTTACTGAATAATAACTGTGTTTTATGTTTAAGATAATTACCAATGTGTAAGCTTTAGGTTTAAGAAAATTAACGTTACCAATGTGTAAGCTTGCTTAGCATATACAGTAACTATATACTGTATACCGTACATTTCATGTACCATACCCAATGTCTTCTCATACCTGTCCCATTTTACAAACTTCTTAGAATATTCCAAACGTGTTCTCTCTCAGCAGACTATTTTTGCTACGTACGGATATCCCCTCTGTTCTTCTGACACCTTGCGTCTACAATTGCATGTGCATTTACAAATGCGGCGCGTCAGAGTATAATGAAGCTTCTTACTTTTTTCTGGCGAAATCGGCATCGATATCATGATGGAGCCTGTGTTATACAGGTTTATAGCATCATGATCAGTGTTATACAATTTGGATAAACTGTGTTCTATGATTTGTATATTAAGCTGAACAGCCAACCTGTTGCAACCAGGAGCTAGTTGGACCCGGGATGGAGTTAGTCGGGTTGGCCGCTAGGAGCGCGATTAGAACCAGGATACAGTACATTATAAACCTCAGTTTTAGATATTGTTTACTCGATTTCTGAGACTTTGGCGTTTCTTGGATAGGTGAGTACTATTTCATACTTTTTATCATATTTTTTGCGAGTAACAAACTCAAAGAAAGGTCAACGAAAGGTCACATAACTCCATCACTTCCGGTCAAAACAAAGATGGCGGCCTCCTTGGAAGAAAATTCCGACGAACTGCAAACTTGGCCGAAATTTGTGCTGTTTGGCGATTCCATAACTCAGGTAAGGGGCTAAAAGATGGGGTAATATATTAGAACGCTATTTGAAGAGCTGTCACTGGCATTTCAACTCATTTTGTCACAATTTGGCCCGATTTCCTACTTGCGACGGTGAGTGGGGAGGGGGGCATGTGTTTTGATTCATCGGGGAAGTCTAGTACTAGTAACGTTATATATGTCACAGAAAGAAGGTTATATGCAGGGCATTTAAAATGATACGAAATTGCAAAAGCTGCAAAATTGTAGTGAAAAACAGAAGCAGCAATTGTCAAGTTCTCTAAATAAAAAAAAAAGAAGTAATGATTTTAAGATTAAGCTATATATTGAGATCACATTTAAGATATTTTAACACCATTTCTTTTTGTTTTCACCAGTAATATTTCTTTTATATCTTTTAATTTGCGCAGTTGGCATTTTGTGATGGGGGGTGGGGAGCGGCATTACAGAATGTCCTGCAAAGGTCAGCACTATACTTTTTAAGTTAATAACTTAATTTGATTTATTTCAAAGGAGTGACTTTTTGATGGTTGTGAGTGACACTGTATGTGGTAACAGAGGCTGTTCTGCTGTAATTTTATGCATGTCTTTGTAGTCTCATGTGTGCATCTTTCAGTCATTTGGTGGAATTTTGCCACTCCTGACTCAAAAAATTTGCCCAATCCATTATCTTTGACATTGTGTAAAAAAACTCAGTGTATAGAGTCAGATATCAGTGTACGTTGGAAAATTCATATCCGAATCACTACAAAGGCAACACCATATTGTAAATAACTAATACATCTCCTGAATCATGTAGAATGTAATAGATTAGCTTTAATATCATTATAGACTAGTTCTGTTAGAATTATATTTTATAGTTCATGTATCTACCCCTGTTGTTTCTCCTTTGCCATACATACCAGTTACAGTTGTTTTTTGTGTCCTTTGACCTGCACTGCTACAGGCAGTGTGATGTGGTATGTCGGGGACTGTCAGGGTACACCACGGCGTGGGGGAAGCTGGTTCTACCGCAGATCATCAACAAACACAACGCCAGGGATGTCGTGCTGGTCACGATATTCTTCGGTGCCAACGATGCTTCACTCAAAGGTAAGATATCTTTCAAAAGTTATTTCACATAGTGTCACATCAGTAGTATATTAAACAGTTATGATACTATTGTAGCATGCATATAGAGAAGCAACAGGGAGAGAAGAAGAACATCCTTGAGAAAAACTTTGTCAAGTAGACTGCAGAAATCAAACAACCAAGCCTTTTTGTACTTGCCCCTTTGTATCAGTTTTTCTTTATTTCTTGCTTCACCTTTCTGAGTAATATATATTTGTACAGAAGTAAAACATTCTTTGGGAAAAGAGATGAAAATTGATATATGTTTATAGATGATCAGTCAATTTTTCCTTATATAAGTTTGTTTTGGTTTTATTCTATCCCACAGAAATGAGTCCTAAGCACGTCCCACTCGATGTGTACAAGACAAACCTGACAGACATGCTGGAGTATCTACAACAGTCAGGACTGGGGTCAGACCAGGTCATCATCATCACACCTCCTGCACTGGACGAACTGGCCTGGCAGAAACACTGTCAGGAGATGGGTAGGTCCTGTTGCCATGGTGATGTAACTATAGCAACTGGAATGATGGAAATGACAACAAATGAAAGCTTTTTTGACATCTAAAGGTGAAGTTAACATTTCCTGTAAAAGTACTCTCATGTCCCTAATAAACATACCCCCCGGAATAAACATACCCCCCGGACAAATAGTCAAAATCTAATAAACATACCCTCCGGAATAAACGTACCCCCCGGAAAATGACCAAATTGACAGGTGAACTGTGTGTCTTTGATACTAAAATGTGCTCTTTATTTCAATACCAATATATTGGCAAATCTTTCACTGTTACATTTAATTAGTGAGTATATATCACTTTAATTAATGAGTATATATATATTGTACTTGTTTTGGGGAAATACAAAATCCGTAGGAGAAGCTATTGCATTTTACACTTCTGAAATGCACTTTGCTAAGCCTTCTCCTGCAACTTGAGTTGAAAATCTGACTAACTTAAGAGATAGAAAATCAAGCCCAATTAAGTACAAATATAGGGGTTTAATGAGTATATCTACAACAAAATCCATTTCAACATAATAATTATTTGGTATGGTACATTGTCTAGTCTGGTCAAAGTCTGCATTCTGAAGAAGAAAAACTTACTAGAAAGTAAAAAAACTTTTAGAAGAAAAAAATATTATTCAGCATAAAATTTTGATTGGTTTCCATCTCATTGTTTTTTTAAAAATCGTTAATGTGATTGTATCAATTTTAAACGCCCTAAAATGAGCTAAATCGGCGCTTTTACGGTGATTGCGCAATATGGGTGCCCTATGACCTTTGACTTTTTACGGGTCATGCTGCTCAGGCGCTAGGCGCCCTCCCCACGTCGGCCGTCCGTCTTGTGGGCAAATTTCTACTTTTTTAGGGGTTTCGGGACCTAAAAACTAACACCAGAGGGAAAATAAACCACATACGTTTTTTTCATGGTAAATATCGCTAAAATGGACCAGGCATTTTTCTGCCGCGTTGCCGATTTTGACAAGGACTTGCGGCCGCCATGTGCTAAATATACGTCGTTTAGCTACTCGCCTTCCCCTTCGGTTTTGTGGGCAAATTTTTGCTTTTTCAGACGTTTTGGGACTTAAAAATGGACAGCAGGCGAAAAATAAATAATATACATTATATTCATGGGAAATGCCGCTATCATGGACCAAATATTTATCTGTCACGTGTTGCCGAATTTTGCGGCCGCCGGCCACTTGCTGATGGTGCGGTACGTACGGACAATTTTTTCCCCAAAAATTAATAAACGTACCGTCCCTAATAAGAATGTACCGGGTGGACGTTCGGGCCGAAAAAAATAAACGTACCGGTACGTTTAATCGGGACATCAGAGTAGATAAGCACTTTTCACAATATCAGCATTATTGAAACGTATGATACTAGTAGTTTCAGAATGAATAACAAAATTTTCGCAGACTCTGATAGCAATGGAGTATGTTAAAAACCTCAAAGTTTGAAGTACATTTTTATGAAATACACGTGCAGCTGACAAACATAAGCATCTTAAAAGCTATATTATTATAAAAAAGCTATATTATTATACTCCATTTGTAATATTGATGTTGTAATTTAGTACTTTTCATAAGCTATAAAGGAAAGTGTTGTTAACAACTAAGAAATGCCATAGCAAGCGCAAAAAGTGTTATTTTGTTAAATGTTTTTGTACACTGTAGGATCCAGTATTAACAGGTTAAACAAGGAGAAGTCGTAGACATCGTCCCTCCATGAAATAGCTTGTTATTTTGTAATCTTTTGGTGTATTTTAATAGAGATATTATGAGTCAAACTTTGTTTTTATCAGCAGAATGATAGATGTCTATAGATGTCTATCCTTTAAGAATTTTGTTGTGGCACTTCGTATTGGAAGGGGTTGCCCAAGCTGTCATGTGCAATTGTTTAGTGTCTTGTTACCATGGTTTGTTTGAGGTCAATGACATCTCAAGCACAACATATTAACAAACCACAGATGACCCAGTTCCCTGCTGAATGACCGATTAAAGATAAGATATATTTCCTGCAGACATGGTCTAGGAGGGTAAAAATAGATTGGCCTGACCTGCCAGCTGGAGGTATAAACAAAAACACTCTGTGCCAATTTGGGGTCAAACAGACCATCCTATTATGAAATAGGGGTGAAAATGTGAAAATCCTTTTAAATAAGCAATGCAAATCTACGACAACCTGCTAATGCACGCTAAAACGCAAAGACAATCAGCATCTACCCACATACCAAAAATGATCGCCAACCATCCACCGGGTTCTGAGATCATTCAACGCAAACAATCTGACATTGAGATAGCAATTCCGGTTCAAAGCAAACAGCTAGGGGGCCCAAATTTACATCAGTAAACCATTGTAACCACAACTACATGCTACCTTAGCATCGCACACACAGACCATAACGTGCCAACAACAGAATAAAAAAATTAAACTGCAGTACCAAGGTCAATCACCAGGTGCTCAAAGTCAACCTACACAATCTCCAAGGCCCCATCCATCAATCTGCCAAATATCATACAGTTCCTTCTCACCGATCTTCAGATATCAGACCAAACATGAAACGGAGTAAAAACAATACCCCCCATTTACATGGAGGGTAATGACGTGACTGGTCAGTATGCCAAGGCCTGCTGCGAAGTGGCCGCAGAGAGAAAAGTGACCTGTGTTGACCTCTGGACGGCCATGCAAAAGGAAAAGGTCAGAGATCTTCTGATTCTTAATCTGTTAAACTTGTTTCTTTTGTGAATTATAATAACTGATTGATCTAATTATGAAGGCTGTTGCATTGCTTTTTCATGTTTGCATGTAATCAGCCTCCCCAAAACAAGCTGCAGTATTCCACCTTTCTGCTAGAAGGTGCTGCTACATGGCACTACAGGTGGATGCAGTGTTTAGGAGATAAACTTTTCAGCTTTTTTCTTGAATAAATGTTAAAGAATTCAGATAGTCATCAAAATGTTATATGTTCCTTACCTTCCTCCCTCTTTCTAACTCTAATGTAATAGGACTGGCAGAAGTTTTTGGAGGATGGCTTGCACCTTTCCAGGGAGGGTAGCCAGTTCCTGGCACAGCTTCTCACCCCCCTTGCTCAGGAAGGCACCAACCATCTACCAATCATCTTCCCTCTCTCAGAAGACGTGGATCCCTACAAACCAGAGGAGGCCTTACTTAACAGGAGACAAACCAAAAATGACTAAACGTAATGTAGATATCGAAGGAGGAATATGGTGGACCCATCCCAGCATTCCGTCAATACACATTCCGCAATACACATTCCAAATGCCTCAGGTGCTGTATTCTCAAATGCATCATATTCATAACAAGTTTATATGCTTGTTGCTTACAGTTAGCCACCTGGACTGTGCATTGTGGAGTGTGTATTGCAAGTGATGCTGGGATGGAACCATATTTGTCCTTGTTAAATTTTAGAGTCTGTGACTCTGTGTTTATAACTTTTTGAGCAAGAAAAATGAGTGAGTGAGTGAGTGAGTGAGTGAGTGAGTGAGTGAGTGAGTGAGTGAGTGAGTGAGTGAGTGAGTGAGTGAGTGAGTGAGTGAGTGAGAGTGAGTAAGTGAGTCATAATCATTTCCAAATATTATACATACCCACCTACCAAATATCAGGACAATGCATCTTAAGTCTTCTCAAGTTATTGTGTTAACAAACACACACGTACCGGGACTACTTAACCTTCTTGGTAAAGGTAATACTAGTAATAGATATAGAGAAGGCTTATTATATCATAAATTGCTTCAGAAGCATAAGTTGTATTTGTGTTTTTAATCTCTTACTAAGAGTCGTAGTCTTAGAAGGTGTGTTACACCAAATGGCAGTTAAACTGGCTATACAGAACAGATGCAGATACAAAAAATATCTATATTATCATATGAAAATGTACCACTACAGTTTTAAAGAATATATATTTTATGCATATACGTACTGTTGTATGGTTTTCCTAATAAACATTTCCTGTTAGAAGTTTTAAGATAATCAGAAAGTTATAAATAGCTGTGCCAAAAATAAGGTAGAAAGTGCCATTAACTTTGCTTGGGTAATAATGTACGATTTAAACATTAATGCTATAGCGAGTAACAGTTCAATGTAAATAGCTAACTTAATATTTCCTGGCTTTGTTAGCATATCTGAATATACCTTGGTATAAAACCTGAAATCCTGTTTTTTTTCTTTGACTCTATACCATCATATTAGAATGGCTGTTGGCATATGCATTAGTTCATGGAGTCGTGAAACAAGAAACATTTTTTTTCTGAGCCAGACAATAACAACAACTTGATATCTCAAATACGCCAAGATGCAGCAGCCAACATAAGTGCCCCGAGGCAAGATTGCAGCCTGAGTGGGTACTAACTTGCCTGGCTGGTTTAGACAACGACGTGACAATATATCATCCCTGTCGTTAGTCAAGCGCAAAGGCCATGCAGGAAAGGCTTTATTTGAGCCTTACCCTGGGTGTGTCTTTCTGTGACCTTTAAGGGCAAAATAACAACGACTCAGAAGACTAAACACAACATTAGACAACATTGTTCCTTTTTGACAGTGCTGGACCATGACGTTGTACAGTGATTTTGATCGATAAGACTCGTAATAGCACGAGTAACGACGTTACAGTCCGTACAATCATTAGTGGGCCGCCACTGAAGAAGGGGAGAATCACTACTACTTTGGAGTGGGGGTGGAGGTCCTTTGAAATTTTAGTTGGATAGCAGGTGTGGTTTTAAATGTTAAACAGGAAATTGGTACTTGTCATTACTTTAAACAGTCGTTTACTACTCTTTGTCTAGAAAGTTTATTGGGGTCTTGAGAAATGAACCCGAAAGTCTGTGCTTAGACTAAAGAAGAAGCCAAAACAAACTATTTCCACAGGAAAATTTCTGACGCTCTTTAACACTACTGTCCCTGAAATACTTCTTCTGTGAGAAAATAACAGTAAAAACTTGGCAGTTAGTTATTATTCTCCTAAATACTCAAAAGTCTAATGTTCATAGACATTGGACGTTTTTACGTTAAACAAAATGGAACAAGTTCAATCTGCTTGAAGGTCAGCCAATATGGCGGGAAAAATCCTCTTAACTCTGAGCCTTTGACCTGAACTGAGGTATTCAATGCCGTGTTGTCTTGTCTATTTTGTTCACACCAACTCTTAAGTGGTAACTTTGTAGCTACGGAAGTGTAGAGGTATGATAATTACATAGAGGGCACGATATGCCACGGCATTGAATTACCGCTAGGGGGCGGGCCAGGAAGGATATGGGGGGGGGAGGATTTGGGAAAAAAAATGTTGGTGATTTTGTTTTCGGGGTCAACATATACATAGCTTGTAAATGTGTGATGTTACTACATTTTGTATTTTTACTAAATTTTCTTAAAAAGTCATAGTGGCTGTCTCGAATTTAGTTTATAAAGGCTAAATACTAGGCGCACGTTATAAGTGTGTGACTCTAGTGGAATTTTTAAGCGTGTGAAAAAAATGAATCCGGTTCGGACCGCAAGGTTGTGGGTTCAAATCCCACAGTTAGTTTTTTTTTAGTACTTACGTATTCGAGGCCTAAGTTCTCCCTAGGCCACGGAAACACTGCATAAACAGATTGTGTAGGCGTTTATAAGCGTGTGACGGAATCCGCAGATTAACAAGTCAAAGCCGCGATGATTCTCAAAGAGCGGAACTTCTGAAGACGACCGTAATTCTATATCCTGTAAACTCACCAATCCACCTGTGACATCCTGACTACTAATAACCGGTATCTGGTGAGGGTGTCCTTGGGATAATGGACCAATCCATTTGTTTAACGATACGGGGGTGTTGCTGTCCTCTTTTTCCAAAGCATTGGAAATGAAGCTTTAAGGTTTGTTGTATCTAGAACCGTGTCTACTAGTATCTAGATCTATGACTTGTCGGATTAAGGTTATGAGCAGTGACGGTTCTGGATAGTCTAAGAACGTAGATTTGCCCCAGGCAGTGTTCTGGATACGCATGGGCTATCCAGGACCGTGCCTGAGCATGGTTCTGGATATTTAAAAAAATGTATTCCATCTATTCCTTCTGGGTATGGAAGTATTGTTTTGGGTGGCTAAGCAGTGGGTTCGTATGCTTATGTACCCAGACAGAGTAGGTTGACAGCACGTGGGACTTTCGAGATTGACAGGCATACTGGCCGTTAGGAGGTTTACAGGGTCAGACCCAGGAAATGGTTCTGGCCGGGGTCGGGATATGGGGAATTCAGGACGCCGAGGATTGCATGAGGGACTCCAACACTTGCTGAAAGGTCAAAATCTCCTTTTTTTTATTCTACCGTTGCTACTTCCTCGTCTCATTTTATCACAATGCGAAGTCGAAAGCACAGTGACAATGTATTGTCATCTCTGCTTTGCAGACTAGAAAAATCTTCTAAAGTTTGACGGGAAACAGTCTACTCCTCGTCGTTGCCCGTGCGTGTGATATCGTTCTCCCCCAGTCGTTGTTTTGCCCCCGTCCTCCACGCATGTTCAAATCACATTACCGCCCATTTCGATATTCATCAGCCGGTCTCTGTGCGCCCGCCTCGGGCATTGTTCGCATTGGTGTGCGCTGGAGCGCGGGCTGCGCCGATTTGCGGTTACCGAGCGAGCTGGCGGCTTAAAACTGCCGGTTATTATACCCAAGTTTGGGCGGTGAGTCGGTGATGAGAGAACGGTTTTGTCCCTCCGCCCTGTTACCTGCGGACGTGTCGTCAGACTGAAGTGTCAATCATTCTGCTTAGTGGTTACCGCTCCAGACATCCATCCGGTCTGATCTAGCAGGAGTTTGTCACCTGGTATTGGGGAGGCTTTGGTACGTCTGGTAAAATTAGGACTGAGTTGGAAACTTTCTTAGCCTGTGTACTCTCAAGAAAGGGAAATCTTAAGGAACAGATTGTCTCAAGAACGTACAACGAGGACTAAGCAAGAGTTGACAACGTCGTTTTACAAGCGGGGGTCCCAAACGCGCCGACCGGTTGGCTTTCTTTAAGCGCAGGTAAGTGGAACGAGGGTAGAGGGTGGTATGCATAATACTGTTACACTCTCGCCCAGGCTTACACGGATATGCACTCTTGCCCTCTCGGTAGTTTACACAAAATATCTGGCGGCGTGACGGCTTAGGGAGAACAACATACTTCTTCTTACAACCGGTACAACAATTTCGATTTGTTTTTATCTTACTGCGATTGCCAGGTCTAGCTGTGTTTTGAGGAAAGGATATTATTAGGTATTGGAGTATAAAACGCAACAAAAGATAAAGCACTTAGCGAAATGCAGGCGCTTTCAGGGCACACATAGATCGTTCGGCGTTTGGGCAAGAAAAATCGATGAGAAAGTGATTGAGTTAAGGAGATCTCAATTACGGTACGAAACTCTCTCCCCTGGGCTCGCTCTGTCTCTCAGTCTGTCGTCTTTGAATACAGGGCGTACCCAGTGTCTTAAAGTAGACCGTAGCGTCTTATGCCAAGGCGCCTTGCTTCTACCAACATGGTTTGCCTTTTTCTACGTAATCTAGACGTTAGAATTGAACTGTAAGAGCAAATTTTACGTGATACATGTGATATGTTTATGGACGACCCCCTCTCTGTGTTCTCTCCCTTCTCTTACAAGGCGCCTTGCTTCTACCTTTCTCTAAGTAATCTAGACGTTAGAATTAGACTGTTCGAGCCCATTTCACGTGACAGTGTGACAGTGTAAACTTATGGATGATCCCCTTTCTCCGTGTTCCCCCTTATTCCTAGGCTCCTTGCTTGTACCAACCTGTTTAATTCTTTCTGTACGAAATCTAGACGTTCGAATTAGACTGTTAGAGCCCACTTTAAGTGAAGTACTTTATGAGAGACCCCTCTTTCTGTCCCCCCTCCCTCACTATAACTTCCACACCCTCACGTGCACCCCTCCCAAACATGGCATTCTGTCACGTACCATTGACATACCAAACAACGACAGGAGAATAACAACGCGCTAACAGTAATTATTACTAAAACTCAATTACACCACCCGAATAGACGCTCTTTCCCACAGGACGTTCACAAATACGTCTTTACCGGTAATTGAAGTATAAGGAGCGTGTCTTAGTGCCACACAGGGCAACAAATTTTAGTCAACGCGAGACAAAATGGTTTTCTAATTGAATGACGTTCTATTGAGACTAGGACAATTAAGCTTAGTGGCATTTAGTATTTTACGTCCGTAAGGTACGTGTACGTGTTGGGGTAACAGAATATATAGATTGGTGGAACTCTGTCGCATACTAGTATTTACAAACAAAGTGGTCTAGAATATAACACAATATACTTTGCAAAAGACCTTTTTAAACACTTTAGTCTCAGTATCAGGCTTTGCGAAGGGCATTTTAATGGGCAATTGTTTATACGATTTTCTGCTTGACCACTGTAGTGAAATTCCTGACGGCTATGTTTTAAAAGTCGGCCTTTTGAATTGAGTTAAAATTTAGTACGTATCAAATAAGATCAGGGAAAGTTGCTGTATGAAAATACGTCCCAAAAAATTGGTTTCTGGTGCATTCCAGCTTCCAGTCCCCTGGTATGTTATTTATCTTTCTAGCCAATTTCCAAGTCCTTCCAGCTGCCTCCCGAAGCCTGGTAGAGGCTAGTATCCATCAGTGGATAGCGTTTATCCCCCCCCCCCCCCCAAAAAAAAAAAATAGCCGGCCGGCACGAGTAGCCTCCTGTGCAGGCTCCAGAGCGGGTGGGAGTTTCGATACTGTGCCAAAGAACGTTCAACCGCCAGAGAAAGTTACGCCATTTTGCCGTGACGGTATAACGTTGTCTGGCAAAACGACGCGTTTACCACAGTATCAAAACTCCCAGCCGCTCGGAGGCCTGCACAGGAGGCTACCCAAGTCTGCTAAGGAGGCTAGGACATGTGATATCACTGCTAACAGCGGTGGCGATGATGACCTAGGTGGGTCGGTATGTGCCTGATAAGATGAGACCACACCTGACGGCACATCTGGGACAAAAACAATGATCCAGACAACACGTACGGGGACATCCTGTCTGTCCGCCCATTGTTAGCGTTATTGTCATCGTTAACCAGTAAATATCCCCTCTGTTGGGCGTGACTCTGTGACCTTCTTTTCGCCCTGTACCGCTCTACACATTGTTTCTACTTACCGTAAAAAAAAATAAATTCAAAATAAGTAGAAGAAAAGGTTGCCACTACGAGAAACGATGCTTATAATTGATTTGAAATAATCCTTAAGTTACGAAAGGTTCGCAAATATCTGTAACTACTAGTGAGGTAGAAAGACCGTCACACCTACGACTTGGTCACAAACGACGTACGATTGTCGCGCGATTGGTACGAAGGACCTTATCGCGACAGTCGTCTTTGTGCCGTACATGGACACAAAATCCAGCTGTCTTGCTATTGAAAATGCTGTCTTATATAGATCCTAGCTTGTCGGCGATTGGTCCTGTCGCGGTCTGCTTGAAAATTCTACGATACCAAAAATTGTACGACGACCTATGACGAATGTGACCACGCCGTTATGCATCAACTTTACTGAATGAATTTCTGTACTTCTTTCACATAATTCATGAGAACCGTCTGAAGGCATTTCAGTCGTGTGTGTCCAGATGGCACAATAATAGCACAGTGGGTGGAAAAGTGCTCATTCATGCTCCGACTTAAGGGATTTAAAAGATTACCATTGTCTCTTTCGATATCTTTCGATATCTGCATAAAACGTATAATAAGACTGACCTAGTTTTCTGTGTCAACATTTTGTCTATTTCAGACTTCTCGTGGTTTGCTAGTACTTAAAAGCATCCATTGCAATTTTAGAGGGATTTTCACAGTTAATTATTTAGTCTTTCTTCATCAAGTAATCTGATAAATCCTATCTCATAGCTTACCGATATCTGTGAGTCAAAAATGCGATGTCGCTGACGGAAAACGGTTGCTAGTTTTGTATCGTAGGCTGGTTCTAGCTGTTCATGGGTGGTACGCAAACAAGGGATTCCTCGCGTAGCTTGTTGCGTGGCTATTTCAAATGCTTACAGTGTAAAATGATGAAGAAAATGGCTAAGAAGTGACAGTAAATGTCAATAACTGACATTTCCTCATCCAGAATATTTCTATTTTGCCACCCTGAAATGCATTTAACCCAGCGGAATTATCAAGCAGACAGTGATAGAAGTCACAGAACCAACCATCAAAATATTTCTAACTGCCCTTTTTTTCTGACCGACCCCCTCCTCCTTCTAACATTCTAACAGCTCTAAGATCATGGAGACCGTGGTAGAAAATTACAGGCCAATTCCAAGTCTGCACAGCGACAGTCGGTCCAATTAACTGTCTGACTCACCTTGGGCGTTTCTAAAACGGAAAGACTCAGCTGTGACGCGTCATTTTAAGCTTACAGAAGGCTTAAGGAAGGCATTTTCACCCGCCAAAAATTATTGGTTTTGAACGCATCGCTGATTCGGATTTACATGGTTCAATTTTTGTTTTCGTGTGAACAAGTTTAGAAAGGCGATAATGGTGTTATGTAAATAAATAGATAAATGGATAGATAAATATATGGTGTCAGGATACTCCATGGTTTGTGAAACAGCATCATTCATTTGACTTGTGGGGAAGTGTCAGTCACTATATCGTGTTGTGATGTGTATGTTGTCATGTCGTGGTTTTGTCAAGTTGCGTTTGTGTCATGTCGTGCACATATCTCAGCGCGACGTGTACATGTCGTGCCTTGTTGTATTGTATTGTATCGTGATCGTACAAGTGCCGTGTCGCTCTGAGTTACGGTTTGTGCTGTGATGCATTGTCATTGTCATGTCACGTTGCGTTTCTGTCATGCCATGGTGCATTGGGTCGTATCATGCTCGTCGCGTTGCGATTTTGTCGTGTTGCATTCGTGTTGTATCGTGCAAGCGTCGCGTTTAGTTTGTCTCGTGTCGTGTTGTCGAACGGCACTGTATCTTACACGTGTAGTGTTGCGTTTATATCGTGTCGATGTATGTTGTGTTCCCTTACGCTTCCTTTGGCAAGAACCAACACATTGTCTGCAGAGGCCGTCATGTATTATACGTGACAGTAACACCTATGACGAGAACGGTAATCAGACAGAAGAGACTTCAGACTCGGTTCACTGGGCTGTAATCTGCCGACGTTAACAAGAGTGACTTTTCTTGCGTGTTAGCTGTGAGGCTGGTGGAATTTCGGAGTCTGTTATACATGTATCAGTCGAAGAGGATAAAAAGGAATCTTTTGTCTTTCGTTTTAACACAAACTTTTAAAATTTATTTTTACGAACAAAGTAGACGAGTAGAAAGACACCATAAGTGATCATACGTAGTTGTGGCTACCTGACTTTAATGAGTATTCAGTACATTAAGTTTATTTAAGGTACGGTTGGCAGACAAGTACCTAAACTATGCCTTTTTAATGATAAAACAACAAGTATATGTCTAATGTACATATCAATAATTCTAAAAAAGTTACAATTTAAATGTGATATTGAAGTTATCATCAAAATCATTCGTATGTGTTAAAAGTACAAATACTTGTACATAGAAGAAGTGTTGTTGGAATAGATTTTGTCTAGCACGCACATGATTACAGCCAAACCTTCCTAATTTGTAGGAGGGACAAGTCTTTAACAAATGGTGCGCAATGGGATCCAATTTTACACTTATGTGATTCTCTAATATTTACTACAGATCACATAATTCATTGTGATTTATGGTTTGAATTTCATTACAAATGGAGTGTTTTTATGACGTGATTTTACTAGTTCGTGTGCGCTTCCTACATATCTTGTGAACCATGGTTTCAAAAAAAGTCCTCATGTAGTTTGAATTTAACGTATTCTGGCCATTGGAGTGTAGAAATATCTGATGAACCCTGCTACGTGGTCGCGCATGTATAATAACCCTGTTCCCCCTGGGATATTAATGGTTGAGTCGGCAGATCGAAGGTTGATATGTGCTTAGAGGGGGGTATTCATTCCCTAATCCCCCATGC